TCGTCGCTTGTGGCACCCTGCATCCGTCAGCTGCCGAAAAGCTTCCGTTGACATGGCTCCAGGATCTGAAGCGAGTGGCGAACAGCGCGCACATCGTGGTGCAAGCGCTTCTGGCACACATGGAAAGTTGTCCGGACGAAGACTTGCTTGAGCAAATGCCAAAGTTTTGGGATTGTTCTGTTTGGGCGGAGGAGCCAGGCAGCTCCTGCGAAAGAGTCATAAGCTTGCTGAATAGGTGGTGCAGCCAAGCAGGACAGGGGCAAGAAGCAACATTGTTTGCTCTCAAAGCCTTACAAGGACTTCCAGTAAAGCGGCTGAAGAGTTTGGATGTCTTGTACAGCTCGCCAGCCTTGCCAGCGCAAGTGTTCCAACTTGTGCTGGGAACATACACAATGAGCAGAGTTGATGGCGTCGAGCAGAGCGTGCAAGAGGCCCTCAACAAGATGGACGTGCTCCAGCAAGATGTGCAAGAAGCACGCGAACACATCAGTGCTGTCCATGACGATACGCTCAAGGCATTCAAACTTGCACGGCGCGCACGATGGGAGGCCAACAATGCCTTACAAGCTGCACGGAGAGCGCAGCAGGATGCTCACACTGCAGTGCAAAGAGCACAAGTCCTCGCAGATCAAGCGGGGGCATGTCGACAGTCGGAAGACGACAATGATATTTTTCATAACGAGGGCCATGATGATTATGATGATTATGATGATTACTATGATGATTTTGAGCGTGACTGGTGATGATAAGGTCCATGCCACGCTCTGCTGGCCACAAGCAGATGGATGCCACGTCTGCATCAGTCATCTTTTCAGCAGAGGACCATGCGATAAGCAAGGCGAAGAGTTGAAGGACCCCTGCTTCTCTATGCAAATCCGCAGACGCCGGGGCTCAATGTCAGTGGCCTCAAGCTTCCTCAACAGCGTGAAGCTCGTTAGATGCGCAAATGGGGTTGCAATGTTTTCCCCCTAATACAAGTTATGGTCCATTTCGAACCGGGATCCCAAACCCGCCTGTTTTCTGGAAGTCTTGTCGTTTTGCGATCTGTCTTGCTGAGGCTTGATGCGCGCAAGCTGCTTCTAGGATGGCGGTGGGCTCAAGCCGCAACCTCAACTAAGTCGGGCTGCACAAGTTTTAAGGCAAAGGGTTGAGATTGCACTCATGTAGGGCTCAAGGGCCCAGAACCCATTGCATGAAAAAGTCTTCCAGATATCTGAGTCAGAATGCTGGTAGCTCTTTGGATCTCTGGACCGAACAGAAGGCCAAAGCGCAGGGCTTTGGATCTCGAAGATTTACAACGGGCAGCTCTAGCTTTTATATCTAGAATCTACACCCTTAGTCCCTGAATCTATCGCCAATACGCCTCCAACATAAATCGGGGATGTCGTGATCGGTTCGGGGTTTCAAGGTTTGTATGTCAGCTCCCAAACCAGGGCGCTTCATCATATTCCCCCAGGCTCCCAGCCATACAGGAGTTTCCACAACCCCCGTTGGCAATTCAGAAAAGCAGCGTTGGGGAATCTTAAACAGCTGCCGGGCATGAATCCCTTCCCCTGAAAATCAAGCCTTCCCAAATATCAAGTAGCCACCATGTCATAGCTGCCATAGCTCCCTGTATAACCTCTGGCAGTTCTCCATGTAGACAGTCTTTGGTAAGAGCGGAAGGGATTCGGGATGATGCTTGCGAATGATAAGAGATCCTCACGATCACTTTAGAAGAGGACTATTTTAGGTTGAGATTTTTTGGATAACAGCTGAGCTGATTAGGTACCAGCCTTCCACAGCCTTTGCCTTATATACTTTGCCAGAGGTGCCCTGCTTTCTGCTAACATACCTGTATTCGAAAAGTGCATTGCAACTGCAGGGACTACTGTCCTTTCAAAGGCAGAACAGTCACTGCATAGCTTTTGAATAGGCACCCCCCATGGTTCCCTTGTAATCCCTACATGTCCCTTAGGTCCCTACGGGCCCCCCTTTCGCGAAGACCTTGTTTTGAAAGCCCCCATAACGTAGAATGTAGTGGCTCTATCCTAGGTACAACTGTTGCCATGCACATTCTAATTCTTCAGGCCCCTACAGAGCCTAAATCCCGACCTAGATTTCATCTAAGTAAGCCTCAACGTATCTATGTAGGATCGCATTTGGCACTCCAAAAACTAGCCTGTAGATATTTTGAAGCTCCGCGCACATTCGCGGGTGTGCTTGAACTATTGCGGGATCGTTCACTATGGATCCTGTAATTTTGGGGCTAGCGTACTGTCACATCTCTACACGAGCTTCACTAGCCAGTACATGATATCTTTGTAGCCATGTGATGCCCTTCTTGGAATTCTTTCTTGCCCTGCCGGTCTGGAACAAAAACTATCTGCCACATACCATGTGCCACATAGAGAGCTTTTCTATCCTATTCAGACAGAGAAGAAATCTGATACGTTGTTGTGGCAGGAAATATTCTTCCTTCACCAACTACGTTTGCAGGCGATTCGGCTGGTAAGCACATGAACGAGACATGACCAAACTGAGCGGCAATCAGCCACTCAAATGGTTTCTTGCAGTGTTGCCTGTGTTCCTCGCTGAGGGTCAGAACTATGATCAGCGCATGTCAAAATTTCAGCAGCAGCTGTTCAAAGAGCAGGCAGCCAGGGCTCAGTCTGCTTCAGCCGCAGCCTCAAGCGACCTGCTGAATTTGCTGGGTAACCCTCGGCTTCTGCAGCATTTGCAGAGCCTTGGAGGTGTCGCGGCGGATCTTGCGCGCCAAGGGCCAGAAGCACTTCTGAGCAGGCTACGTGCGGATATGGAGGTCACCGAGTTGCTGACAAGCTTCCCTGCAGATGCCACAGAGGAGCCTGTCATGTGCGGCATGAACTTAAGCATCGCCACCTCTGCGAAACATCTCTACAACTCCTGGGAGCTAAACGTGTTGGGACTTTGGTCCAACTGCAACCTCGACGAGCAGGAGATGGAAGACGTGATGCAGCAGTCCTTTTTCGGCTGTCGCGCGTTCACTGGAGGTTTGGCACGGCCCTCGTCCATCGTAGAGGCCCGTGACAGGCTGATCTACGTTGCACACAACATCATGCGCTTGGACGAGGGCGAATGTCGGCTGAAATTCGGGAATTTCTTTGCATTTTGTAAGTTGTTTCTTCCTCGTGAGGTGAAAACGAGGGTGCCCCCAAAAAAAGACGCGTGAGTTGTGTAGGCTGGGGGACCAGATCTCAGGAATGTCAGTACGGCAGTGTCAGATTGGTTCTTTCACGGGAGTACCTTCGGCATATGACCTTGCTCGTCCCTGTTGACACGGGCTGGTGGAACGCAGACTGCAGAAACATGTCAGGTCCGCTTCTCACAGTTATGTTTATATCGCACAGCCCCTTTAAGGGAACCCGCAGAATCCCCTTCATAATCTCTTTATCTATCTGATTAGGGTCCCTGAGAAACCCCGTTTTTGCGTTCCAGAAGTCATGTCAGGTCCGGAAACAATAAACTGCTCTGCATGGCCATTGCCTAGCGAGCCAGGCACCTTGGATCATTATGACCACAGCTTATTGGCCCATGCAAGGTTAACTTCTTTTGATCGCGGGCAGGGAGCTGACACGATGGCGCATGTTCTGGGAAGAATGCTGATGCCTGAGAAGATGCCTCTGAATACTAGCCAGAGCCGAGACATGTACGGCTATTTAGAAGCCGGCGCTCTGGGCCAGTTGTACTATCCTTCAGCCGTGCGGTTCATTGTCGCCAGTTTCTCGAGACTTTTTGGCACCATGCAGGAAGACGGGTTGATTGAGTGGGCAAAGCTGCATAGTTGGCCGGTTGCTTGGTCTCTTGGCATCATGGATGATGATGGGTCCTGCGGTTGGAACTTCAGTGCTAGAGGTGGCCACCTCGTAACTCTGGCAGAGCCTCGACTCTTGGATCCAAGAACAGCACATGTCCTGAACGCCACCGTCGGCTCTCTGAGCTCGCTGAGGACCCTCAGGGCAGAGGCGCTGAGGCTTCGTTTGCAAGGCTGGACACCCAAGCGCTCACCCCAAGCATGGCAACATTTATGGGGCAGAGCAAAGGAAGCGCTGGAGCCTGGAACCTTCCAGCCTTTGAGAGCTGGAGATTGCTCAGATCCAGAACGATGTGTTGGTACTTCCCATGGCCGCTGCATCTGCAGGCATGCAAAGGAGGACAAGCCAGCAGATCTCGTAGTTTGATGCCATTTGTACAGCAGCCGGCCCAGGCTGGTCCTTTCAGAGTTCACGGGTGTTCCACTAAAGAACACTTAGCAGGTGGATCTTCAATTACCAGCAGTTGCTCGGATTCAGTGTGAGCACCGAGGACTGAATTTTCGTGCCAGACGTGCCGGCACATTTAGACTTTTGTTCTGCCGGCAGAGTCGGAGTACCTCAGAGCAATTGCCCCAGTGACAAACACAAAGGCGACCAGTTTGCCCAAAGTTGCAACACCCACAATGTTTTTTAGAAGGCTGTATATCGAAATGCCTCAAGATTCGAAATCCCTCGAATTTCGTAGTATGATATTTGGTGCTGCAGCCGATAGTGGGCAGATGGCCGGGCTTTGGACTTTCGTAAAGACATGTCCGGGTCCCAGTTTTTGAGGTGCGCATACGAAGAATTATAATAGATTGGGGTACACAAGGAATCCTCCTATTCATGGAAACCTCACATGCTGCCTGATTTGCTGCATAGGTCCTTGAAAACTGTGAACGTGACGGCAGAAGCGATGCTGAATGGCCAGAGCCTCAGTCACGTGTTGGGCTTTTGCTCGGCGGTGTTAACGAACGTAAACATCGTAAACTAGATACCATAAAGGATAGAAACTGAGAGAATTTGATTTCAATTACAGTGACATGGGTATATAGTAAATACGATGGGTCTCCGCATACTGGCAATTTCATTAACGTTCCTCAATGGCAACCCGGCTTTGCTAGCTGGGTTCGCAGGTCCCTTTTTCTTGAACTGCCGGACCCTTGGAAGGTCTAAACCAGATTAACAGGAAAGCTTCCCTCTCAGTCTGCAAGAATGAAAATCCTGGCTTGATCAGGGCATGATCGCTGCCTTTCCCACTTGCCTTTGCGCTCCTTAACTGACCAGCTGAAAGTGTAGCTGAGCGTCAAAGCGAGGGTGCACCCAACATTCCTCGTAATGATGAACTTGTTTTGTATTGTGGTCCTGTTTAATCTGTTTCGGTGCCCGCTTAAGGAGTTTCACGCCAATGTTTGACCGTCCTGTTTGATGACTGCGCACTTCCTACCCTAATCCAAACCATTCCCACCCATTACATGAATTTCCAAAGCCCTAAGCACCGTGGGTTGCTTCCGGAGTGGGGCACACGCATAGAGGGGCTGTGTCCAATTGCCAGATATGGCCGAGCTTCGTGCAGTTCAGGTCGCAGCGGATCTAGAGATCCCACCGGTCATCTCGCAGGTTGCTGCGTGCGGGGGTTGGGGCCTCAGAAGCTAAGCATGACAAAGATGAATGACAAAGCCTTTGATGGGGCACTTGTTTTTACATGTTCTCGCCCCTCGTGCGGGTCCGGCGGGGTTGCAGCAAACTCAAAGTAGAAAGCCCCGGAGACGTAACCGGAGAAAGTGCTCATGCAGTTGGAAAGCAACATCGACTCAATGGCGGCCATGGCGCATGGAGCAGCCAACTTGGAGGACCTGACGGCGGTCCCTGCTGCATGGCGCCTAGAGACTGTGATCGACGCGTGGGTGCACATGGCATGCGGTAGGCACTATGGCTGGCGTGGTGCAGATTTCCATAAGCCGTGCACGGTGATCGAACACCGCCTGGAGGAGCTCTGGGCATGGCAGCCCGAAAGGGCGAAGCGGTGGTTCGCCCGGCAGCAAAAGCGCCACAAGCTGCAGCGTGTCGGGACGCGGACGGATCAGGTACGCGACGCATTGCTCCGGCACGGCCAGGCAGAGCTAGAGCGATGCCACGTGGACATCTTCACGTTCTTGGGTTTGGTGCGAGAATTTTCTACGCAGCACGTTGACGACATGTCTTGGTTTGAAGCTCCGTGCCAGCAACTCGCGGAGCGCTTGGTTGCAGCACAGGAGCACGCCCAGGAGGAGGCGAGCAAGCGCCGCAGGCTGGAGGAGGACGCTGCCACGCGCGAGCTCCGCATGGCTAAGGAGGAGAGCACTCGGCTTGCAGAGCGTTTGGCCGAGGTCTGGATGCGCCAAATGCATCTTTGGGCATGCTGGGAACCGGTGTTCGTTCTGAGCCTTCAGGGTTTGGAGGTTTAGGGGCTGAGTGTTTGAAAGCCGAATTTTCAGAGCACAAAGACACAGCAGACCTTTTTCTGAAACTTCCTTGTGATGGACTAGGGCCAAGATGAGTACAACAGGGTTTCGGGGTATGTTGCAGTATACATGTCGGGGGTATCATCGGCGAGAACAGTAGGAATCCCTTCATACTACCAATAGCCACCTCCCGCCCCTGATATCAAATATGTCCCACAATATATGAATTCGCTTGCCAGTTACATTTAATAGATTGGTGGGGATGTTCAATACTAGTACGAGGGATTGTTTAGGCCCTGGATTACGTGTCAGCTCGGGGATTTGGACTTTGAAGGCGGGGGGTCCTCAAAAAAAGCCCTTGCTTAATACTTGATAGGGACAATACAATCCCCTAACAGCTCCTTTCTATCCCCAGGCGCCTAAGGGCACTTCTAGTCTGGGAAAGCCGCTGTATGGATCCGTATGGCGTCAAGCTCACCAGTGAAATTCGTCGGTTGTCCTATCAACAAATTCGTGTGAGCGCCCTGTGTATATGCGTGTATTCGAACCTCACAAGATTTGTTGCCATTTGGCCAAATTTCAGAGAAAGACGCGGCTATGCCATCACATGGAAGACAACTGCACTGTGCACAAGATTGCGCCAGCTTCATAGGAAGTTCATGTTGCTGCGTATATCACGGGAGAAAACTGCTAGCTTGGGGATGGCCTGGACCTTTTCCAACATACATCCATTTGTCCCTGCAGGCGGAGGCTGAGATCCGGACGGCGCAGGACGAAATCACCAAACACCAGGAGCGATGCAGTCAACTTGAGGCTTGCATGCTCGCCGCCGAGGCTGAGAAGGCATCTGAACTCCGAAGCTTTGAGGAGGAGCGCGAAGAGCTCGCAGAGCGCCTGGCCACCGCAGAGACGTTGGCTTCAACAAAGGCAGATGGGCTCCAGGCAGCGCAAGCGGAGATCTCCAAGTACAGACAGCGGTGTCAGGTGCTTGAGCAACAGGTCACAAGTGCGGAAGCCGAGCTTGCACAAAGCCAGGAGGAGCTCCAAAAGGCTCAGAACCATCATCAAGACTGCAATGACCAATGCTTTGAGCAGTTAGGGACGGGGTCCGGAACGGATCCATCAGGAAACAGAATGGAGCTGCAGTCTGTGCTCCTTGAGAATGCAGCCTACAAGGACCATGCCCTCCAAGATACTTCAAATATACCCCGCAGACCCGATTCACCCCGTACTACCCCCTATCAACATATACCCAAGTTTTCACCTAATTCCAAAACTCCCGATGTAAACCCTATGGTACCTATAGCTTCCATTTTATTTTCCATTACCCCAATATATCCCCAATATATTCCCTCACTCCCAATATATAAAGCCCTCATATCCCCTATATATAACCCTAAACCCTAAAACCCTAAACCCCTAAACCCTAGACACTAAATGGGTCCCCGACAAGGAGCGATGCCGACAGCTGGAGCTGTGCCTTGCCAAATCAGAGGCGAAGCTGGATCAGATGCTGGAAGAGACTGGATTTTGTTATTAAGGAACTTAAGTTAAGGGTTTTGGGTTTAGGGTTGATTGTCTAAGTCGAGGTCCCCCTATTTGAGGAAAATCCCATGTTAGGTTATATGGGGATAATGGAAAAGAATATGGAAACTACTATGTTGGGTTCTGGAAGAAGCCTGGATTGTTATTAAGGAACTTAAATTAAGGGTTTAGGGTTTAGGCTTGATTGTTATGAAGGAACTTCCATTAAGGGTTTAGGGTTTAGGCTTGATTGTTATCTAAGGAACTTAAATTAAGTTGCCATAATATGGGGATATCGTAAATAATAGGGTTTCCTTATTAACGCAACTTAGTTTAAGTTCCTTATCAGCAACCCAGGAGAAGGGCAAGTACCAGGCGAGCCGTGCTTTTTATGTGGTTTTGGGGAAAGACCTTGACGTTTAGGATTTATGAGGCATTAGTCATTTAATCTGGGCCCTCCATAACCGAAGTCCACCAGATCCCTCAGAGTTAATGTGGGCAATACCCCCATAAAATTGCTATATACCCCTAGATCATCCCTATGTATGCCCGTTTCTTGCCTTGTATCTACGTCCTAGAAACTCCAAACCCTAAATATCCTCATGTACCCCATATATGTATATATATATATACACACATATTTTCATGTTTGTACACACGTGTCCTGCATATCCCCTATTCAAGAGGATAGTAAGAAAATCTGTGTTTAGGCGGACGCGGCTGCCGCAGAGGAGCGCTGTTTGCAGCTCAAGCTTGCTCAGGCTACCTGAAAGATGAACCTACCCAAGGGCTCCTACATGGGTAATATAGGGTTATATAGGGATAATGGAAAAGAGAATGGAAAATACGGTTTAGAGTTTAGGATTTAGGGTGTGCAGAAAGGGTCCTACTTTGGGTTTGCTATGGTCTTTTTATCTGTGGTTATCGTATACTACCCAAAAAGAAACTGCATAGGAGGGTCTCGGTAGGGGTTTAGGAGTTTAAGGGGTGCATAGGTTTACATACGGGTTTAACGGGTCTTGTGGTGTGCGGTTTAGGGTTAGGAGTTTGGGGTATGGGGGCTTTGGTTCGGGCATTTAAAGCTTCAGGCATCTAGGGTTACTGGGGTATATAAGGGGTGGGCGGTATATGATATAGGGACCTCGCTAAGGTTCCCGCCTTTAGGATTCAAGCCCCAAGCACTAAAACCCCTACATCCAATACAATCCTTATATAACCACCGTGAACAAGCTCGCTCAGGCCAGGGAGCAGGGTCGACGCTCAGCGCTGATGCTCTCCCCATCCCCACAACGGAGGGCAATGAAGCACCGCGACCGATGCTGATAAAGCACCGAAAGCTTGCACGGAAAAAGTCAGCTCCATGTTTCAGTAATCCTGCATTTCATATGTGTAGGCGTTGCTTTTTGCATGTGATCTTTGTGCCAGAGCACTTGCTTGCCGCAGTTTTCCTTCCGATTGCTTTGCTGAATCACCAGACTTGGGTTCGCAAAGCCATTTTCTGTAACCAAGGGCTTCTTTCGTTGTTGCAAGTGCGGAGGTCACCTTCTAGGAATGGCAACATCCGTTGTACAGGACTTTGGCTGGCCATTCCTGGAAATGAGATAGCCTCCACTCCTACATGGAACTGAGAGGACATGTCCAACATTTGCTGGTGTTGCATAAGACATTCCACTGCCATTTGTTTGTTTGCATCCCATACTGAATTGCCAGCGTTCTCAGGCGAGTGTAGGACGCGGCACGACGTATCTTCGAAGCCAGAATGCTACGCCAATGCGGTTTGGCTGAGGCAGAACAACCTGCCCTTCTATGCCCAGAACAGCAATACATAGCAATTCATTCTGGAGAGCCCGCAACCCTTAGGTGAGAGGATGCCCCTATAACGAGAAGGAAGGCATGTTCCTGCATGAACGGGTCATGGGCTCTTTGCATTTTCACGGCGCAGCAGCGAGGGGTGTCCACGTTGGGTTTAGGATCCTAGGGTAATCCCAGCATACTCGGCATTAAGCCTGGAAAGTATAATCCTCAGAAGTCCTGTCCAGGAAAACAATCCGACCCTGTGTCATGATTCAGGGAGATGCTTGCAGAGGCCCGCCGCGCCAGAGAACCAAAGACCTTGTGTAGCATCCACGTGCTTCCCAATAATTATTTTCTTCTCATTGCCGTTAACCTTATGCCCCTGCGCGATTTTTTGACACACCTCCCAAATTGTAGGCCCTTGATGCTGCCAGAGCTCGGCCACGTGTATAGCGGCCAAGGATGGTTGAGCTGCTCTTGTCAACGGTGGCTGCTGTACAGCATCCCGCTTGCCTGCACCTCATGAAATGGAAAGAAAAGCTCCTGCATAGAGTGGGCCAGACATATCCACAGGTTGTACGTCCTTTGCTTTGTCACTTTCAGATGCTTCAGTTAACACGAGGCTTCATGTTGCGAAGCCAAGCTCGCAGCCAGCATGCTATACCAGTGCGCTGGCCTGAGGCGAGAAAAACAGTCGTTTGTTCGCAGCGCATTCGAGGGAAACTCTTCTTAAACAATCGGCGGTTATCCCTGAAGCCATTCAGCAAAACAGTCGAGTCCAAACTACGTGCTGGTCTACCAAGACTTGTTCAGCTGATGCTATGCCTTGTACCATTGCAAGGTGAGATCTCCCTCGCATCACATTCGCTTGCATTTAATGGTTCGTGCTTTGCAACTCTGTCACCTTTGGATGCTGCAAGAGCCTTAAGTACAACCTACGCTTTGGAACCTAAGCTTATCAGCTTTGTGAGGAACCTTGATGGGCTCAGGTCACTCTGGGTTGTCTGGCTGCTGGGCTCATGCGTGAAAAGGGCTGTTGATTGAGACCAGGTATTTTTCCGGATTTTTTACATACGAGATGGCATGGGGGGGAAATGGTTTAGATTCTAAAATTTAGGTCTGAATATCTGCACGTAAATTAGACATCATTTCAGGATGAATTCCGAGGATATTCTTGATTTTGAAGATCTCAGAAGGAAGATTTTCTCGTCGGATCTCTAGAATCATTTTTTCAGGATTAGAAGATATCTAAATGGTTTGAAGGGAAATAAATAAGGATGAAATAATGATAAATTTCTGGAATAAATATTCTATGAATGAGGATCGTAAAAAGAAACAAGATTTTATCAATTAAGGTGAACTCTAAAATATATTCATATATTATTGAATTCTATCAAGAATTCAATATATCGTCTCGTTCATGAGTAGAGATATTTAATATTAATTACGAGAGGTCTTGATAATTTTGATAATTAGATTATATGATCGTTAATTTTCGAATATGAAATTTGATAGGATTGAATATTGATATTTTAGAAAAATAGATTCATATTTCCGAAATATATCCTACGAATGATATATTTTATTATGAATATTTTTTAAAATGAAAATATTTAATGATTTTTTGTTTACTCAGAAATCAATTCAAGATTGAAATTTAGATATTCGTTTCTCAAAATAAATATATAAAGGGACTATAGATTCATATATTAATTGCATATTTTCGATATATATTAAAATTAATTTGATAAATTAGGATTTCATTGAGTATCCAAATTTAGATTAATATATTGATTCTTTGATTTCTATTTCGCAGAAAATTATATTTATATGCGATTCTCATTAATTGGAAATCGCTCGTTATAATATTGAATCTATATATATGCTCATGATGCGGAGCAGGAAAAGAAATATAATTAATATGTTTAAAAAATATTCGATAAAATTGATTCTAGAAAATATATGAAAATATAAATGAAAATTTTAAAATGAAATCGGTTCTAGATTTTATATAATAGAAATTTCTTCATATATATGATAATTAGATAGGATCGAAGAGGAAGAATTTCGAATTTGATTCGAAAGAAGATATTCATCTTCAGAAATAGGAATAATATAATATATTTATAATAAATAAATATAAAGGATTGAATAATATTTTTTCTACGATAGATAAATGATAATTATATAGCGGAGAAATTCTCTCAAGCTGGCTCTCATGAGAAGAAAAGATTTCGGAAGGAAAGATATGCATATAGATCCAATATTGATTTTCGGATTTCCGCAATTTTTCTACGAACGTTACATGTCTAGATATATTTTTCGGATTATTTATAAGAATGATCCCAAAGCCCAAGAAGATTCATTCTAGAGATTTCGTTCAAGATTTCAAGATTATTTAAATGGACGGAATAATATAAATATATATATATGGCTAATTCGATCTTATGAGAAATCCCAATGATTATTAATCTCGCGATCGCATAGAGTTGTTACGTCGTAATTTCATTCTTATAGAAATGATTCGTTATCATTGTGGCCGCGTGTAGCGCCCAAATCCCAATTTGATCTCTATGAGAATTTTGCTATATGCGTCGATTGGAATCTTTTGGATATATATTCATAATATCATATATTACGTATTCATCTCATAAATTGCCTCTCTATCTGTTAAGATAAAGGAGTCGTTCGAAAAGAATATGCGCAGGAATCTTTGCCGTAATCTTCGAAGACCTTTCGTGGAAGAAATCCCGAAATCCAATCAACAAATCTTCGCGGAAGTAGCCGAGGAAGCGGAAGCAAAAAAGATTCTAAGTATTATTCGCGGAAGAAATGCGGAAGGTCTCCGCGGAAGACGTAATTTCTATAATAGAATTTAAATGGAATAAAATCATCGTTCGATTGATAATTTTCTATTCATCATTATATTTCTTCTCTTTTTCTGAATTTAGAAAATTGAATTATATTTCTTTGGAATTATTCTATCTATGAAAAATATCTATATATCTATCTTTTGATATTTCATTCTATTTATAGGAAGGAAATAGAATTATAAATATGGGAGGCAGATTTGATTTCGATTTCTAAAATTATGAGAAATGAAATATAGAAATATTTTTGATAATTATATAGAAATATATTAGAATCGGATTGAATATGAATATATTTTCTATAATATTCTTATAAAATAATTTTCTTTGAGGAATCTAGATTATATCCCATTTTTTCTCTCAGATAAAATCTTGAATAGATGTATTTGATTCTGAATATGATTGAATCTGCTTATAATATATATATAATATATAGATATATAGAGAATTTCTTCTTCGAATAAAAATATATAGGCTATATTCTAAAATCATATCTTGATAAATCATAGATATCTTTCAGAGAAATATGAAAAATGAAGAATTTGAAATATATTTTTTGGATATCTTCTCTAGGAAATCTTATTGATGAAATTCTGGATTATATATATAATTCTGAATCCGAATTTCAAATATCTAGATATCAAAATTTTCTTTTCTATTTGATATCTATTGATGAAATATAAATGAAATATAAATGAATGAAATATAAATGAATGATATTTCTGGAATTTTTGAGATTAACGAATCTCGTATATCTTT